AAAAAAAAAAAAAAAAAAAGAATGTAAACCTTTAGCTTGGTTCTCTCTAATTAAACATTAATTAAAAGAAACCACAACATGAAGAATGTTTCTACATCTCCAGCAGAACGACTTTTTAAGACATTGTCCAGTACATCACACAATTTCTATGTTTAGCAATTCATGTCATAAATTCAATCAGAGGAAAGTTTCCCCTTTATTTGATATCCTTGTCATATATTGAGTTGGTGGAAAAAGTCTGTTTCCTTTAAAGAACTTCCTTTTAACATTAAGTATTTACTGTAATATTCATGTCAAACCTGTTGCTGTAGAGTCAATTCTGACCCACTGCATCACTACAGGACAGAGTAGAACTGCCCCATGGAGTTTCAAGGCTGTAAATCGTTTTCCTGAGGAGCAGCTGGTGGGTTCTAACTGCCGATCTTTGGTTAGCAGCCAAGCCCTTAACCACTGCACCACCAGGGCTCCTAATATTCATGTAGGGAATAGTTATTTAAAGGTACTAATAAAGTCAAATTTGTTTTGGAAATCTAAAACCTGACATATGTTTTTCACCCAACAGGTCAAACTGCAGTTTGGCTGTATTTTTTAAGCCAAACCAACACTTTATTTCCCTTTTTGACTTGTCTACCAAAAAGCCAGAAATAAATTTGGTGTTCAGTTTGATTAATTGTTTAATCAGCTTTGCCTCTTAACACAAGGACCTTCATTCTCTGTAGGGCTTCTGATCTCTATTTCAATTTCTCTGTATAAGCCCTGGTGGCGCAGTGGTTAAGAACTTGGCTGCTAACCAAAACGTCAGCAGTTTGAATCTACCAGCTGCTCCTTGGAAACCATATGGGACAGTTCTACTCTGTCCTATACGGTCGCTATGAGTTGGAATTGACTCGATGGCAATGGGTTTCGTTTTTTTTCTGGTATATATGCCTATTAGGTGTGTATTTCTGAACTCTTTATAAAGCCTTTCTTGAAGTAGATGGGACTCAAACTATTCATACATAAATAGCAAATAAAGTAGTCGAATGACATTAAAATTTAAATATAAAGTGGTTTTCCATATAATAGTAACAGATTTGAGGGCAACATGATAAAAATTGTGCAAAAAAGAAACTTGATCATTTTTCCTCTTCAGTTTTTCACTTTGAACTATTTTGACCGATAGCCTTCTTTATTTACAACTTCTGCTCTTGGACTTCTGGAGGACCTGGCTGTTTATATGACTTTTACTTTTTTGTTACGCTTTCCTACTCTCCACCACAATATAAAATAACTTTAGAATTTGAAAATAACAATAAATTGAAATTAACCAAATGCATAACAGATTTTATCCTCCTCCCCCCGCCAATACTAATCACAGATTGCACCTTCAAGCTTACCTCCTCACAGGTCTCAAGTGGCAAAACATTTCTGAATATGAATGTACACCAACTTCCAGGCATCCATTAATCACTGAAAAAGTTAAGCAGATTGAAGAGGGGGAAAGATTTGAATCACATCAACTTTTCCAATAATTCAGATATTTAGCAAGATACTCAAGTATACTAAGGTCTTCATGTCAACTGGTCAAGGGATTTTTTTTTTTAAAATAAGACTTTATATTTTAGAGTAGTTCTAGGTTTACAGAAAAATCGCACAGAAAGTACAGGGTTCTCATATGCCCTTCTACCCCTGCACAAAGTTTTTCCTATTATTAACATCTTGCATTAGTGTTGATCAAGTGATTTTTACAACCCTATGAGCAATCCCTATCAAAGTCTTGAAATGCCACATTATTCATACAATCATCACCAGGAATAAAAAAAAAAAAAACTATTCTTTTTTTTTTCCTTCCTAGTGAAGCTCTGAGCTTTCTCCACTCTCCATTATTCCATTCTTGTAGAGATCAGTTAAAGAGCATATTCCCTCAAAACAAAACACCACATAGCTAAAGTCCTATTCTGTTTTTTAAAAATATTTTCATGATGCAGTTAATATATCTGAACCAAAGTAATATAATGAAGCATAACTGTCATTACTAGAATGATGAACATACATATTTGTAAGAAAAATCATGAAATGTCTTTTGGAAAAAAATAAAACTGCATTTTCAAACAACGGTACTTGAATTTTTTCTAGTTCTCTTGAAGAAGACTAGTCATTTTCCCCTTGGAGTCCTAAGAGTCTTCCGAGTTTTTTATATCTTCTCCTTTGAGAGTACAGAGAGGGTGTGATCAGATGAGGATCCGGTTTTTGGAAAAGAGAAAAGGAAGAAGAAAAAGGAAAGAAAGAGAGAACGAAACAGAAATAACCTTTAGGCAGTGGTTCTCAAAGCAGCAGCAGCATCACTGGGAACTTATTTTTGTTGCTGTTAGCTGCCATCAAGTCGGCCCCCAACTCATGGTGACCTCATGCACAATGGAACAAAACACTGTCTGGTCCTGTGCCATCCCCATGATCAGTTGGGGATCGGACCACATGATCCAGAGGGTTTTCATTGACTGAGTTTCAGAAGTTGACTGCCAGACCTTTCTTTTCTAGTCCATCTTAGTTTGGAAGCTCTGCTGAAACTGTTCAGCATCATAGCAACGTACAAGCTTCTGCCGACAGATGGTGATGGTTGTGAATGACGTGAATTGGCTGGATTCGAACGCAGCTATCCCCTCATGGAAGGTGAGGGTTCTACCCTTGAACAACCAATGCCCCCTAGTGGGAACGCAAACTCTCAGGCCCCACCCCAGCCCTGCTGAATCAGAAACTCTGTGTTTCAACAAGCCCTCTAGAGGGTTCTCACGCATGCTCAAGTTTTAGAACTGCTGCTTTGGGGAATCCTTCTGATTCTATCACCACACAGGATTCTGAGGTGTCTGTTAGGAAACTTTTAAGCTTTAATTATTGAGAAATACTTGTTTAATACAAACTTAGGAGTCCTTAGGTGGTACAAATGGTTAAGTGCTCAACTACCAGCTGTAAGCTTGCCAATGTGAATCCACCCAGAGGTGCTTTGGAAGACAGGCCTGGGGATGTGCTTCTGAAGATTCACAGCCTTGAAAATTGTCAGGAGTCGGTCTACTCTGCACACATGGGGTTGCCATGAGTCAAAATCGACTCTAAAGCAACTAACAACTATACAAACTGAGAGAAGGGTCCTGAGATACTAATTTGTATGCTAAAAAAATCAAACAAGGGTTGTTTGAACGAGTTCTTTGTTTCCTTTATGGTTTATCCCCTTTTTAAGACTGAAAAATAAAATTCTAAGTGGAAAGAATGTTAGAGCCCAGCTGGCTGGCAGCCGTGGCTACTTGCTTTTTGCATGTGGCATAGATCTTGGGTTAGTCCTCAACTTGGCACAACCAAGAACCCAATTTTATCACTTCAGCCAGAAATAAGCAGGCCTTGGGAAAACTAAATCAGTAGAGGTCTGACTGATAACTAGAACATCAACTTTTACATTCACTATGAGAAACAGAACTCTTAAGACAACCAGAAGATTCTCAGATCCACTGTTCCTTCCCTTATAGAACTAGCTACACAGAAAATCAAATTACTCTCATCAGATTGAAGATACACTGCTATGGAGCAGAGGTGGGTGCTCTCAATTGCTAAGTGACACGATCTCTGAAAGCCTGGAACACCCACATCACCTGCAGGTTTCTTGTCTTCTGGTGAATTCTTACACGGGCGATTTTTGTCCAAATTCCATGTAGCCCACTATAATTCCATTTGGAAAAGACTTCAGGTCTACTACAAAATAACTAAAAAGTTAACTTTACACCACTACCTTGATCAAACTTGGAAGGCAACTGATTCCTTAATTAAAGAACTTCCTTAACAGTGATTTACTGAGCATTTATGTGCCAGACCCTGGGCAAATCACTGGGAATAGAAAAACACTAAGACAATTCCAGTCCTCAAAACCTTAGTCTAGGAAGAGAGGGAAGGGGGATGAAAAAACAGACACAAGTAGATAATTATAAAACAATGCAGTAAATGCAATGACACAGCTATGCACAGAATATTATGGGACACTCCCAGGCACTACACCTAGAATTAGGGCCTCTTCAAAGTCTTGTCCCAGGAGATGGTGTCTTCCCTGGAAGGAGGCTGGATGATGTCCACAAACCATTGTAAATGGCTACTTTAATCCACTTACTATTGACTGTTATTAGCTTCTATTGCATACAACGAAACTTTCTAAATCTGTGCAAACTTTCAAACCAAATCTGGTAGAAAGAGATATCTAAATTGGCAAAAAATCCAAATTATGGCGTATTTTAACAAAAACTGTTTTGTTTGGGCTTAAATTACTTTCAAAGGATACAGAAACAGTAACTAACTGTGTTGCCAAGCAGAGGTCTTAGGACTGATCTTTGGCCATTTAGTACAATTAAAAAAAAAATTTTTTTAAAATTGTGTTTTAGGTGAAGGTTTACAGAACAAATAGTTTCTCATTAAACAGTCAGTACACATATTGTTTTATGACATTGGTCAACAACCCCACGACATGTCAACACGCTCCCTCCTTGGCCTTGGAGAACTTTTTTTTTTGGTGAAAATATACATAGCCAAAGATACACCATTTCAAAAATTTCTACATATACAATTCAGTGACATCGCTTACATTTTTCCAGTTGTGCTGCTATTCTCACTTTAGATGAAGGTTTATAGAACAAAATAGTTTCTCATTAAACAGTTAGTACACATATTGCTCTATGACAATGGTTAAGAACACCACTACCTGTCAACACTGTCCTTATTCAACCTTGGGTTCCCTATCACCAGCTTTCCTATCCCCTCCTGCCTTCTAGTCCTTGTCCCTGGACTGCTGTGCCTCATTAGTCCCGTTTTGTTTTATGGGGCTGTCCAATCCCCAGCTGAATGGTGAACCTCGGGAGTGACTTCACCACTGAGCTCAAACGGTGTCTGGGGGCCATATTCTCGGGGTTTCTCCAGTCTCTGTCAGGCCAGTAAATCTGGTCTTTTTTGTGTTAGAATTCTGTTCTACTTCCTTCTCCAGCTCCGTTCAGAACCATCTGTTGTGATCCCGGTCAGAGCAATCAGTGGTGGTAGCTGGGCACCATCTAGCTATACTGGACTCAGTCTGGTGGAAGCCTTGGTAGCTGTGGTCCGTTAGTCCTTTGGACTAATCTTTCCCTTGTATCCTGTTTTCTTCATTCTCCCTTGCTCCCGAAGGGGTGAGACCAGTGGAGTATCTTAGATGGCTCCATTTAGTACAATTTTTATTTAGAAGTAATTTATTTTAACAAAGTTAATAATCTCAAGCTACTCTTATCTGTGACATTCCTTAGTAACTAGCTAGGTAAGGCTTTTGAAAGTGGTTCGTTCCATCAAGGATGGATAAAAGCAGACAATTTTTCATTGGTTTTAGCTTGAATACTTCTTACACAAGGCAGAAAGGTAAAGAAAAGAGCAAAAGCAGAAAGTTACACTAGATAAATTAACGATAAATTGTAGCAAGGGTGAAATCCAAGTTACAATCCTTCTGTAGCTTCCTTTCTTAAATCTTTCGCTATGAGATTTTAATCACAACAATTTTGGAAGGTTTTTCCAACGATAAGTCAATGATTTCGGGAACTATTATAGTTGGAAACAATAAAAACCTAAATTGTCTTTGGTATCTTATTTCAAAATGAGTTAAAACAGATGCGATGCGGATACGCTGGCCCCTGACACTGCCTCAGTTCAAAACTAACACGTCGAGCTAAGGTGACTCTGAGCCTCCCCCCACTTCCCCCTCAGAGGAGCTGGAAAGCACAACTGGAGCCCCTCCCCTCTTGCTCCTTACAGTTCAGTCAAGGGTCCGACGCGAAGGCTTTCTCTGACCCGCTCCACCTCCTACCCTGAACCATGAGAGAGCACGGTCGCTCCTCCCGCAGGGCTGTGCGGGAGCGCGCATGGGAGCGCATGCGCACCAAGGCGCCAGCCCAGCCAACGAGCGCGCGGCGTAGGGCCTGGCGTTCCCATCTGCCCTCGCTCCAGTTTGCAACAGATTCTGACAGGTTCCTACCCTCAGTGCTCTTTGAACCCCTACCCCTGCAATCTCAGCAGGGCACGCAATGATCAACCTATCCATACGGCGCCCCAGGGGCGGCGGCGACCGGTCGCTCTAGGTGAGTCCCGGCACGCGGATGGGGCCGCGGAACCGCGCTCTCATTGGCTGAAGCGTGCCAGGCCTTCCTCCCTAAAGCGCCTGCGCGCAGTTTGAGCGGCGGGTAAAAACCTGTGGCGGTACTCTGTCACCGCGCTGACGTCAGCGCCCTGGTGACTGCTCCGCTTTCCCCGCGAGCTTTGAAGCGCCCGCACCTCCGCATTCTTACCCGCGGGCCCTGAGGGCTGCGTGCGCTTCACTGCAAGGTTTTGGAGGCACGAATAAGTTCCCTGGGATACTTATTACTAGGCCGGATGGAGTCGCAAAATGACTATCCCGAGAGTCGGTGGGGAGGGCAGAGAACGGAGAAGGGCGACCGAGCTCGCGCTGGAGTTTCGGGGGAGGGAGGGCGCGCGCACCCTCCCCCCAATACGGGAGTCCCGACAAGGGGCGAGGCTGGCCCAGCCGATCCACTCCCGAGCTCCGGAAGCTGAAGCTGACGCCTTAAGACAACTCTCAGTGAGAGCCTAGATTTGAAAGGTGTAATTGAAGCGTATCCTTTGGTTTTCTTTCCGTAAATAGTTGTTAGGCGCCATGGAGTCGCTTCCGACTCATAGCAACTCAGTGTACTACAGAATGAAACACTGCCTGGTCCTGCGCCATCCTCACAATCTGCTGTTAGAGCCCATTGTTGCAGCCACCGTGTCAGTCCATCTCGTTGAGGGTCTTCCTCTTTTTGCTGACCTTCTACTTTACCAAACATGATGTCCTTCTCCAGGGACTAATCCCTTCTGATAACCTGTCCAAAGTATGTGAGACGTAGTCTCGCCATCCTTGCTTCTAAGGAGCCTTCTGGCTGTACTTCTTCCAAGACAGATTTGTTTGTTCTTCTGGCAGTCCATGGTATATTCGATATTCTTTGCCAACACCATAATTCAAAGGCATTAATTCTTCTGTCTTCCTTATTCATCGTCCAGATTTCACATGCATATGAGGCGATTGAAAATACTAAGGCTTGCTTGGATCAGGCACACTTTAGTCCTCAAAGTGACAGCGTTTCGACTCTTTAAAGAGATCTTTGCAGCAGGTTTGCCTAATGCAATATGTCATTTGATTTCTTGGCTGCTGTTTCCATGGGTGTTGACTGTGGAGCCAAGTAAAATGAAATCCTTGACAACTTCAATCTTTTCTCCGTTTATCATGATATTGCTTATTGCTTCAGTTGTGAGGATTTTTGTTTTATGTTGAGGTGAAATCAATCCACACTGAAGGCTGTAGTCCTTGATCTTCAAAGTGCTTCAAGTCCTCTTCATCTGCATATCACAGGTTGTTAGTCTTCCTCCTCAGGATGCTGCATTCTTTTTCATGTAGTCCAGTTTCTTGGCTTATTTGCTCGCATACACATTGAATAAGTATGGTGAAAGGATACAACCCTGAGGCACACCCTTTTTGAGCCACGCAGTATCCTCTCCTGTTTTAAACACTGCCTCTTGGTCTGTGTACAGGTTCCCCATGAGCATTTTGGAATTCCCATTCTTGGCAGTGTTATCCATGATTTATGATCCACACAGTCAAGTGCCTTTGCATAGTCAATAAAACATAGGTAAACATCTTTCTGGTATTCTCTGCTTTCAGCCAAGATCCATCTGACATCAGCAGTGATATCCCTGGTTCCACATCCTCTTCTGAATCCAGCTTGAATTTCTGGCAGTTTTCTGTCAATGTACTGCAGCAACCATTTTTGAATTACCTTCAGCAAAATTTTATTTGCGTGTGATAATAATGACATTGTTCCGTAATTTCCACATTCTGTTGGATCACTTTTCTTTGGAATGGGCACAAATATAGATCTCTTCCAGTCAGTTGGCCAGGTAGCTGTCTTCCAAATTTGTTGGCATAGATGAGTGAGCACCTAACAGAGCTAATAAAAAAAAAAAAATCTTTCCTCTAGTTTGCGTTTTCCTTTTGACCTTGTTCCTTTTAGTATCTGGCTATTTTAACCCTTTGGTGACCCAATTTTTTTTGCTTTGAATTTTTTATTTATACTGTGTGTTTTTATTAATGGAAGCCTGCTGAATCATTATGTCTAAATTTTTGACAGGTAGTATGGATTTTTTTTACTTGCCCCCTCCCATGAGCCTATCCTAAGTGTTTACTGGTACATATGAAGTACCACTAATTATACCCCAGAGTCCCCACCAGGGTCTATTGGTACATATGTGTAACAAAAATTTTCAAAATTCCTATTTTCCCTACCAAAAATTCAGACACCTTATATAATACCCTGTAAAAACAGAAACTTGTGGCACATGCCTTTTTCTTCAGTTTCAAACAGCACACAGTGTCAGTGGTACAGGAGCTTCCCAATAAACCCGCGAGGCTGAAAAAGTTCATGGTTGCTATATGTAATGCCGGACACAAAAGGGCTAAAACCTTAAGCATTTTCCGCTATCTCCGTTATCTTTAAAAATCTATATATCATTGTAAAAAAAAAAAAAAAAAAGTAACATAAAATTTCCCGTTTTAGTCATTTTTAAGTGTACAACCCAGTGGCCTTCCTTACATTCACAGCGTTGTGCAGTCATAGTCACTATTTACTGTATTTCCAAAGCTTTTCATCACCCCAAACAGAAACTGTGCACTCAGTTAAGTATTAACTTCCCCTTCTCCTTTTCCTCTCGCCCCTGCTAACCTACTTTCTGTAGCTATGAATTTCACCATGGGCTTTTTACTCATGGCTCTGTTAACTTCAATTCCTCCAGAAATTGCCAGAGATAAAATCAGGCAAATACAATCGTGGCTCTTTCCCCTTTTCTACCTTGCGGAAGCTCCTGGCACTGTTGACTGAGGCAGGGGGGAAAAAAAAAGGCTTCATTTGTTCCAGCTTCAAGGCTTTCAACTTCTCGTTAGAAACAAATCCAGCCACTTGTGATCTGTCCCACCCTAGCCTACTTCTCCTAAAAGCTTAACCTATCATCCCTTCTCACATCTGCATCCCCTCTAATGTATCCTTACCACCCACATTTAAATGGTCTTATATTTCTCTAATTTCTTTCTTAGGGTTTCAATTGCTGTTGATTCACTCATGGTGACCACAGGTGTATCAGGGTAGAACTGTGTTGCATAGCGTTTTCAATGGCTGATTTTTTGGATTAGCTCGCCAGGCCTTTCTTTTGAGGCACCTCTGGGTGGACTCCAACCTCCACCCTTTTGGTTAGCAGTGGACCATTAGTTTTGCACCACCCAGGGACTCCACCACTGACACAGAGGTAACAAGCCCTGGTGTCACAACAGTTAAACACTCATCTGCTAACTGAAAGGTCTGTGGTTCAAACCTTCCAGCAGCTCTGCTGGAATAAAGACCTGGCAATCAGCTCCTGTAAACATTTCAGCCCAGGAAACCCTATGGGGAGCTCTACTCTGTCATATATGGTCGCTTAGTCAGAATGCACTGAACGGCACACAACGATTTGTAATTGCCCACTTAATATTCCCACTTGTCCTTATAGGCACCTAATACTGATGGTGGTAATCTGCAAACTGAATTCACTTCCACTCACCCAGTGTGCTCATACTAGAGAACTGGGCACCTCTTTGACCTCTCCTCTGCCTTGTTTCCCATCTCCCATCCATGAATAGTATTCATTCCACATTTCATGATAGTAAGACATTTTGCTAAGTGTTAGGATTTACTTTTCTAGTCTTGCGAGGTTATAGATTTATTCCAATGATGCTGCCATTACCATATTTTGGGAACTCCTTTAAGAAATACTTTCAGCCCCTCTAGAATGAGTCACACCTTATTCTTTTATTACCTTATTCAGACTTTTCTCTACATGATTTCAAATTATATTTTAAAGTACCAAATCTAAAGTATCTAAGGATGAGGATCATGACCTTGGAGAATGACTGTGCTACAGATTCTGAAGATGACTTCAGAAGAGGAGTTTTAACTTTCTAAGGTGGTTTGAAAGGAATAATCCTTGTTTAGATATTAGTTAATAAGTCCTGCTTCTTGGAAACCCTCTGGGTCAGTTCTACTCTGTCCTATAGGGTGTTGCACAGTCACATGTGATAGGCTGAATAGCGCGGCCCACCAAGAGTGTCCGAAGAGTCCCTGGGTGGAAATCAAGAATTTGCATTTCTAACAAGCTCTTGGGTGATGCTGATGCTCCTGGCCTGTAAATCACACTCTGAATAGCAAAGTCTTAAACAAGGAATAATCCTTGTTTAGATATTAGTTAATAATTAGATATTCAGTTAATAAGTTATAAGTTCTGGCATATTTGTTTAAAATATTGTTTTCTTTACTCATATATAATGCAGCATACATGAATTACAAGTTTTTAAAAATCGCAGTAATCTAAGGTACACTAAAGGAAAACTATTCCAAGGGTAATTTAACTTTTTTTCGGTATAGTGCAGAATTTAGTGTTTGAGTTACTTTTCAATATCATTGTACTATTCTAGATTATAGATGTAGAATAGGTTTTAGAAACTGAACTGAGTATACACTAACCTATTTCACACCCTAAAGATTTTCTGAAAACTCCAGTTACCTGCTTGCGTGTTTCCCTCTTATGCCTCCCTGTTATTAAATGCTGCATAATATGCAGTTTGTGGTTTTTAATTGTTTGGATTTCAGAATAAATAGGGATTTACCATACTTAGGTTCTCCTAACTTAAGGAGAAGCCAAAAAGTAATGTGAAAAATCACTATTCAGTGTAGGAGAAACCATTATAAATTGCAAATATCTATCAAAACTTTCAGTGTTTGAAACCTATATATTAACTTACTGTAAATCAATGAAGTACAAAAGCTGAATATAGTGAAAACTTTATGTTTATTGCCTTTTATTTTCAACAATGATTACTTGAACTTAAAAAAAAAAAAAAAAAAA